GTGTAGAGTTAGTCCTTGGGATAAAACTGTAATGGCACCTACCAATTATGGTTGGGAGCCTGCTTTGCTTAACTGTCCCTGTTCCTGATGCAGCCGTTAAATGAATGTGCAAGTCATTCAACAACACTGGCTACCTCACTGTTGGGGGAAACTGTTGGTACTCCTGGTAATCCTCGATTTACAACTGTAATTTAGCCTGCAATTACAGTCGTAAATCATGAGGGTCATTAATGGGTCATCACACAATGTGCCTAATTTTATACCTATTTTGTGGGAGCACAGAAGGAAGTGCACATGAGGCAAACATTGATGAGCTTAGAGAAGGCTTGAATTTCATTTCTGATTCCCCATTGGGAATGTAGGTGAGAGATTGGCTACTCGAATTCTGACCTGATTCTTTTTAGTCAACACATTTTAGGATTAGACTTGTAGGTGCGGAGAGAAAAAAATGGAAATTGTTAGCTTGATAAAGGCTAATGACCTGTTTCTAATTATCAGCAGACGTTTCTGGATGTTTGCTTTCATAGAACTTGTGGAATTCCTCAAACAGGGTTTTGTATGGTGTTTTTTGTATATTGATTATGAAAATCCAACATATGGAGTTTCAGCCTTCTTTGTTGTGCTCCAGATTTTGATCCCCACATTTTCCCAGCCAGCATACCAGTAGTCCTGCTATTGCTTTGCACACCCTGATAGTAGCAATCCCTGTAAATATAATGTGTTAAAGTAGTTAATTGTACTTCTTCAAGTAAAAAACCTCACTGTCTTCATATTAACTCACCTACTTTAAACTGCACAGCTTTTGAAGAGACTTCCTTTAATTTTGCCCATGTTTGGCTACCGCCAGGATGTTTTTTTACATGTGGTCAATAAACCTTTCATTATATTCCTGCTAATATTAGTGAAGCGCAGTGTTGCCTCAGCTGGCTGATTCCTGTTTTGCTTTCTAAACAACAATTTCACTCAAACCGTTCTCGGCGTGGGGTCACTCTAGATAGCACTTGTGACTCAGAGACAGCCTTACTTAATAAAGCAGAATATGTAGCGCTGGC